AACAGCATGTGCATGTCATATCGAGTGTTCAATCAGTCGACAATGGATGAAAGCTACCGGTCATGCCAGAGGTTCTGTATACCAGCAGTCACTGGACACAGCAACCACCACACAAGAGCAGCAGCACAATGACAGGAGATACCAAGACAGGAGATGGGATCAAAGCTACCGATTCTGCCAACAATGCCAGGAGCAGTAGTAGTCGAGCCTCAGTTTTGAAGACCATCAAGAATACCCTTCAAGACATCTTTGATCCCCCGGAACCAGAGAGATTGCCACCAAAACGACATCCCCCCAAACAGCTTGATGCTTTGGTTGTCACACTGCTGACGACATTGACTATCGTTGACTCATTTTGCAAGAAGCTGTCAGCTGGCATGGAAAGAGGGACGATACAATGGGATTTGAGTTCCGGTTGGTCCATCACCCAAAGACATGCACTTGCCCAGAAAACGCTTGCCACCACCGAAGGGGCAGGAAAACATGCTCTTTGGTGGACATGCGTGTTTCCCATTCTTGATCTCAGTTCAATGAAAAATGGCTTGACCTCCTGATTGATGGGTTCTCGACGAACTTGGTTGGAGAAAGACGAGAGATGCGATTTTTTGACCAATGCTAGCTAGCTACCCAGAAGCATACGACACCTGCGAAAGAGATGATACCGCAAACCACTGATTTGATTGATTGATTGATTGATGGTTTGGTTGATGGCAACCTCCCTTTCCGATAATGATGATGACGATTTGTGCTGATGTGGCTCATTCAAGTCGTTGGTATGGACGCTGCTGACAACACAACAAGCAAATGCATCCGGCGTGATTGCATTGGATTGCCCTTCCTAGTCTAGCTAGTATCTTGCTCGGTTTGTTGAACCCAGATCGTCATGACGAGACAGTGTCGTGGCAATGGGAAGCCAATCGGAAGTGCCGCTTGTCTCTCGGAAGAATGCAATTTCAGTAATTAACAACTTTATGAAAGCATTATGGATGCAAGTTGTTAAATCTGTCGTGCTACAGGAGCACAGAATGAATGACGAGTGCCGAGTCCCGGTCATGTGCCACCACGTGCACCGCAGCAACGCTTTCAAAGCCAACAAGACATTTTTCAACCAGCGTTGGTCTCATCTTTCCTCCTCATGTGCCGGCGGCTTACATGAGTTGCCTGCGTCCTTGTCTTGTTGTGGTCCACTCCTCCCCAATAATAATAAGTAGCACGAACAAAGTGAAAGCAACATCTGCTTTCCCACTGCTGCTGCTGCTGCAGACCAGAATAGCCAAAGGTTGTTGACGGAAGTGCCGCACTCGTCGCTGGCCGTTTTGTTCTGAAAAAGAACCCTTCATACTCACTCTTTTTTCAGTCCATCTCGCTGCTGCGCTGCGTCTGCCTACGGTACTGTCTTCTGCTACTAGTAGCTAGCTTGCAGTCCATTTATTTGGAGAGGAATCGAATCAGTCAACAAAACCATCATGAGCAGTACTCCGGGTACGACGATGACGAGGGGTTGGATCGGATTTGGACGAAACTACTTTCACACTCTTGGCGCGGAAAGATGGCACGATTTGCCACCGGATAGCCACAAGGACGAGCTGTACAGTTGGGGTCTCACAGACGAAGGTGCTGTCGATAGCGTCATTGAAGCGTACCAGTACACCAAAGAGATTCCCGACAAGCGAAAAAGGGAAAAATCAGACAACAATAACGACCAATTAGTCCCTGCGGCGTGTTCCTCCGCGTGCAGCTTTTTCCTGTCGGGCGCTCGACACAATCGCATCATGATGCTGGGGACTATCCATGGACACGTGATGAATCCTATTCTGGAAGAACAGCAATTCAAAAACAACCAAAATTGGTCCCCTTTTGACATGGTCTCACCATCCACCGTTACAATCCCTTTGCCGCTGCCTTGCGTGGAATTGGCGGCCGGAAGACACTTCTGCTTGGCACGGTTAGAAGGGGGATTGGCGGTTTGTAGTTGGGGAGCGGGACATTTTGGACAGCTTGGACATGGAACCACCAGTTTCTCTAGTGGCGGCGAAGTTGGAGCTGGTGGAATTCCAGACGACGTCACATCCACTTCGACCTACCAAGCGACACCCAAAGTCATTGAACGACTCTTGCCGAGAATGATCGGTTGTCCCATTGCACAAGTGGCAGCAGGAGATTGGCATGCCATGGCACTCACGCAGGAAGGAACTGTACTGGCTTGGGGATGCAACCGAAATATGCAATGTGGACGCAAATCCACTCGAGCCAACAAAAATCCAAATGCCCCTTCAGCTGCTCCCTTGCAAATGATCCCCATGCCCATTACCATACTAGATTCAGATCCCGACAGAATAGACGAGCCTCCCGTTCAAATTGCCAAAATTGTCTGTGGAAAAGCACATTCCGTGGCCATATCCAGACAGAATCAGGTATACTGTTGGGGCGCATCGCATTACGGTCAATGTGCCTCCAATTCTGGAAACAGTATTCGAACCAGCAAATACACTCGCAACACGACCGCCCTGCCACGCCTTGTCAATGCCCTACAGGATTGCCAGGTCATTGATGTGGCAGCAGGAGACAGACATACACTGGCGCTGACTCATGGAGGCAGAGTCTTTTCCTGGGGAGCAGGGGGTGAAGGGCAACTGGCGATTTTCCCACCTATAGTCGCCACCCCCAAACCGCGGTTGATTCAAGATTTGGACTTTGTCGCCATTGCAGCCTCGGAAATGCAGGCTCAAGCGCGAATTCTGGCCATAGCGGCCGCGGATCCCAACAATCACAACGTACAGAACGATGCAACAACCAAAGCACAATTCGAAGCGGAAGCGGCGCATACGCTTGCGTCGATTCCAACAATTACGTCCGTTCATGCAGCGGGATGCTCATCCTTTGCACTGAGCTCCAATGGGCATGTCTATGCATGGGGATGCAATGATGCCAAAAATCTAGGATTGCCAGTGCCACCCACCAACTCGTTGCCATATTGGGAAATGGGAATGACACCTGCTCCTCCCAATAACCAACGGTTGCTGGAAGTACGAACGTTCGATTCCCAACACAATGTCCTCTTGCCAAGACGGCTAGAATCATTGATGAATGTCAACGTGGAACAATGTATCATGGGGCCCAGTCACAGCTGGTTCGTGGGGGATGCACGTCCACCAACCGACAGAGGCGCCAAGAATGGCAGCAGTGGTGCCATTGTGGTTGGACGAACCTTGTATGAAGTCGAACAATCACGGAAAGCAGGGATGGACGGTAGCAGAGTCCACCACAACAATGGCGGATCAGGAAACACGGCGAGCTCCCTCCACACGAATTCTTCGTGGGCGGATAGTGCCGCGACGTCCGAGTTGGGCGGTAGCTCCCTAACCAACACGAACAACTCCACAACACGACGACCATTGATCTCGCAATCTAGTACCATGCCCACTGATGACGAAGACAATACTGGTGTGGATCTAATGTCAGCATCCATGCCAGCGTTGCCGACCGAGCAGGAAGCAGCGACGACAGGCCACAGTGTAGCTCGCAGAAACAGCGGTGGCGACGAAAGGAGAGCGCGATATGGACGGCGCCACAGCGATACGGATGCCGCAGTTGCTGGAACCCCTGGTGGTAGCAAATCACGGCAGTTTTCACTTTCCAATCTGCTACGGAAACTGGGTGTGAGCAACAAGAAGAACAATTCCTCCGCCTCTGCTCCTCCGGAAAACGATATAGACCGCAGCAGCAACCACGACAAAGACAAACGAATGAGCAACTCGAGTAGTGGAAAGAGCCGGTTTCGATTACGGTCGAATAATAGCTAGCTAGTACCCAGAGTCGACGTACCGTATGGAAGAGACGTTTCCCATCAAGCAGGGAGTCGGCGTGATGAGCCGTACCAGCCCGCAGCAAGTGTTCCCACTTACCAAGACTCTTAGTCTAGCTAGCTACAGTGGATACGGTGGCGGAACTACTGCACATGTACGACCCACACCGCTGCATAGAATTAGACGCACCAGCCAGTGCATTATTGGCCGCTTCTTGAGGTAGAATGTCATGCGCGACTTCGAAAGCCCTCCATCTCAATGGTTTGCATCATTTCAAGACAAAACCTTATGGATATTCACGAAATTTGAGAACACTGTACCCAGTGTGACAGCGGTCTTGTTCCGCTCTTTAATTCATCAACCCTATCAAGACAGTTCTCGCAAGCTTTTTTATTAAGATTGGAGTGATGTTATAAATCCTATAAAGATATCAAGGTTGAAACATTCAACCTTGCCTTTTGTGAAGTGAGACGAAATTCCCAATGGCGAACGCCTCCAACTGAGCAAACGCGCTTCAATGCCGCTGCCCTTCAACCTTCACATCAACTTAGTAGGAGGCTGAAAAAGGCACACCAAAGAGAAGTCACATGATGAACCTTGGAGTCAATTGTACACCATCATGCATTATGAAGGATGTCCAGAGGTACCAATCCAAATCGTCCAAGTACTGGAACCTGTTTGGTTGCAAGAAATATTGCTTGGAACAGACTTGTCAGTTGTGCCATGTTGAGCACTTCTCAAGCTCAGTTACTCTTGCAACATTAAACCTGGCCTCTGCAGTACAAGAAATGAATCCCACATATCTATGTCATCACTTTTGTTGCCACCAAGTTAGTGTATCCTCCAAGTATCCGAGTCCTTGCATGTTCAAACTTGAGACTTCCTTCAGTGAACTGCAATCTCTTCAGAATTTTTGGGGTTTCCAATTCAGGGAATAGCTCAAGTTTCTTCCTCCAAGACTTAGTGATACTACTTCTTTAGCAAAGAGTGATTGAATGATTCAATATTCCGATTCTATTGAAGTTGTACCTCAAAGTATGGTTTGGTCTTAAATCTTGATTGGGTCAGTTTTACTTCTCGAAGTTTTCCACCCTTGGATGAACCTCTTTGTTGCCACTGCTACTGCCAAGTGCCAAGCCCAAGTTTGAATTTTGTTTTCTGTTTTTTGCATCTGTGACCTTTGATTTTGGCTGTGGTAGCTGTTGTGGTAGTGATGTTGTGAGGTGGTTCACAGTTCGAGGCGGCGCGTGGATTTGTCTTTGGTAATTTCGTTCCACCTTCAGGCTGGCGTCGCAGCGAGGACGGACGGCATCTTCGGAGGCTTCAACTGGCAAGCAAGGACTTGAACGTGCAAAGCAAGCAGGATAAAGAACTAACCTTTGACGACAAAACTGCATTGACAGCATTCAAAAACCAAAAGAAGGACAAGGACAAATCTCTTCATGCTACAGCTCTGTCACTACTAGCTAGTACTGATATTGAACCCACATTGCACCACCATGACATCCCAAGTAGCGACGCGACGGCAGACAGTCCCAATCAAGCAGGAAAAACGGAGAAAGCCGCGTCGTCAGAGCGGCCATGCAGTAGCCTTTGAAAACAAGGAAACCGTGGTGCAGAGATCACGCTTGGAGCGGACCGACAGCGACAAGGTAATACGGCGCAACAGTATGGAGCGTAAGATGTCAGTCCGGAACTCCATGAAGTTGCCCCAAGATTTCCTGAAGGGATTGACTGGTTTGGACGATTCGCTCAATCGAATGTCAATGAGTGGATCTTGTCGCGGCTTGAACGACTCCAAAGGAGAGGTGACGTCCGAGAACGCCAACACTCATGGACCCTCCTTCAGTAAGAAACAGCTTGAAGAAATGTCCAAACAAGCGCTTCAATTTTCGGACAGCGATACAGAGGACGAAGTGGAGTTGGATTTGGAGGATGCCATAGTTCTGGAGGAAAAGGCTTAGTCCCCGAATGTGTGGAAGCAGCAGAACTCCTGTGTGATTTGAGGCAAGACGCTTCACTGAGAATCATTTCGCACGGATTGGCTCCTGGGAGCGAGTCAGAAATCTGAAAAATAGGGTGGTGGACGCAACAATCGCCGTGGACGGTTGTTTCGAATTGCAGAGGTTGGACGAGAACAGGATGGACTGGCTATTGCTACATTCAGAAAGGGAATCTTCAATCTAATTTGTTTCTTGCTTGCTGGGTTGTATCAAGCTCGGTCCTTCTCCTCTGTACAACAACAAAACAAATAAACGACAATCATAATGATGACAACACAGTGGAAAGCGGGCACACTTCTTGATTCATTCGCACGGAGCATGTAACAATGTAGCCTTCATTTCTCCTCTGATTCACGAGTGTATGTATGGTAGTAGAAGTCTCTGCTTCGAAGGCCGATTGTCTCTGAAATAGGAAAGAGCGACACGGGCTAGGAAACCAGCTGTCCTCAACTGCAGAAATACCGGTGGGAGGCATGTCAGCTGGCTAGCTCATAATGCCGTGGCCCGTCATACGGTACAGTAGTCAAGGTCAACCAAGTTCCCTTGATCGTCACATGCTGCCTTGATTGAGCATAGAATAGGTTCGTCTCTACTTTGCCAAAAATGGTCCTACGGTAGAAAATCGTATCCCAAGTGTCTTTCAGCTACAAAGCTGATCTGACCAAGGACTGTATTCACCGGGGTGCTGGTTCTCTACCTGCTTGCGGCAGAGGAGATTGCCTAGACTTGATTCACTTCCCAAATGAACACTACTAGTAGCTAGAAGGCATACTGTTAAAACGTAAGGGATCAAGAAACGAAAGTAAGTCTGAGGTGCCCCAGGCCACACACCAAGCAAGCATCACGTTTGCAAAATTCAAACTCTATTATTTATTTGTTTTCTTCACTTCTCCGATTCGCAATCACTCATCATCATCAGATGCATACAACGGTTCTTTGTGATCAAGATCCTTGAGCAGTTTGATGGAGGCAATACATCCAGCCTCCAAAGAGTCCACCACGGAAGAATCCCCAATGAGCGACTGCTTCTTTCGCAGCGACAGGGGTGGGTGGGACGCCAATTCCACCGTGCCACCAAAGTGTTGCATCATCAAGCGCGAGAGGCACAATCCCACTCCCAAACCCTGCATGGGCGATCTAGTCTCAGCGTAGGTCTGCTGATCATCGAGACGATCCCACATGGTTTTCTTGGTACGGACGAAATCAAACAAAATGTCGGTATTCTGGGCCAGGTCGGGGTTTTTGAAGCCGCCTCCTTGATCCAGAACATCAATGGACAAATAGGACTTGTCTTCTTCGTCGTGATGATCATCAATCGCGATGAAAATGGTGGGAGGCAAAACATTGCTGCAGCTCGATGCTTCCATTTCTTTTGTCATTCGTTCCATTGAAACGGCCATGGCATTCTTCAAAAGTTCCACCAGAACATAATGGATCCACGGTTGGACAATGGTAAACTCGTCACTTCTGTCTATGGTTTGAGTGACAATAACCACTTCCGGAGCTGCCGTCACGAGATGGGAATAGTGCGATTCACACAGCAGTTGGGCCTCGTTGGTGGCGTCTTCCAGTACCGACAACAAGTGGCAATCCTTATAAATCATTCCTTTTGGTGACAACGCGTGTTCGCACAATAGCTGGACCCCCATTCGGCCTCGTAAAAAGTCCATGACAGTGTCATCCAAGGGCAAAGCCGGATCCCAGTAGGGTCTTGTCGTAATGGCAAACTCGGCCAGATCCTCCACAGTCAAGGCATGCCGATCTCGAATCTGCCGAAAGGTTGCCTTGAGCCATTTTTGTTCTCGCTTATCCAATACGGGGTTTTCCATCTTGTTGGTTTCCAAGTGGGCCCAAAACGTTTCGGCGATTTCCTGTGTGTTCTCATGCAACTTGTTGAGATTGTGCAAATTTTGACGTGCCTTTTCCAGTGCCTGTCGACGCTTTTGCCGTTCTTCGCTTGTCATCATTGTCTTCTCTTCCTTTTGCAACTGATTCCACCAGTACGGTTGCGACGAAGTGGCAATGACTTTCTTGTTCTTTTCCGCTGTTGGAGTTCCGACATTGGGATCTATATTTTCCTGAGAAACGCTTCCCAGACTGCCACCCTCTAAACTCTTTGTCACGTAATCTTGTAGCTTTTCTACTTGAGATCGTTGATCCTGCAATCGTAACGATACATCTCTGGCAAGATCCAAAACTGGAGGGGCCAAAACTCGAGAAAAATTGCTCGGGTCTATCATGGCTTGTTTATTCCTCGCCAAAGAGTTCTTGGTCCATCGCACGATTTTGCCTGCTGCTCCTGCTGTCATCCTGGTGGCTGCAGTCTCTGTTATGGGTAGGATTGCTGCTGCGGCTGCTGAGGCCATTGTTGTGGTTTGTTGGTTGGTCACCGCAATTGAACAGATGAAAGAAGACCTTTCGCTTACGTGGTTGCTTGCTACCGGTATGAAAGTTGTGTCTTCGAGGAGCTTTGGATCCGAAATCGGAAGCCAATTCGCAGCTTCCTTCTCGCTTTGCATGACCTTCCTTTCTGTTCCGATGAGATCCTGGACCGAAGGACTTATTGAAGTACGTACAGTCGTAGTTACCTATCTCCGCAATTAACAAGGAACCTTAAGGGGCAAAGAACAAAAAGAGTATAGGGGACAGGGGACTGCAGGTGGAAGCTGTGGGGTCACTGAAGAGCTCAAGAGTAGAAACCCGAAGGCTCCTCACATTTTCAAGCATTTTCCGAACATCTTTTTAAATCTTGACGGTTTTGAAGCAGTGGCATCATGCTGGGATCGGGTCTCCCTTGTTTCATGCAAACTTTTACTTGAATGACTATCAGTGTTCGCATCTTCCACTGAACTGGCATCGTCATGGGATGAGGCTATCGGAAAGTATCTACCGGTACGGTACGACACTAGCTAGCTAGGTCTACCAAGTCGTGTCTTCGCCACCTGCAGGATCCATCAAGCAAGCCATGGAGTCATTGAGTTCGGGTGTGGACAGTGGACAGCCATGTTGACAGAGCCTACCTACAGAACCAAGCGAGAATGGTACTGGTACCAGTACCAACAGGACCCTGCACCGGTGCTCTGGTATCAGTTTGGATGATACTATCCTCTCTTAGCTCAAATGATTTTGCTGATCTTACACCATTGCCTGCCTGGTACTGTATCATTTCGGTTGATATGCCAGTAAACCAAGGCTATCGCAGGCTGCCTTTATGAGCAAGTTGCCGAGTCAACTCCTAGCTAAATCACAGCAGACTCAAACCAACCCACCCATGTATGCGTGGCGTGGGGTTTCTACCGTGCTTGCGAGAACACTATTTTGGGATAAGCTAAATGCTATTGGCCATTATCATTTACTCTTTTGGGGCACGCCGTAAATTGCAACTCAAAAAGCAGATATGCAATGCTTTCGGCAAGCCGCTTTCGTTCCTTGTGTGGCCTCACTCGACGGCAATAAGTTGGCATCCAATTTAAAATAGCGGAAGAAAGCGACATTCTATAGTCCCCAAACATGGAATTCATCCACAATAAAATGTTTGTTTTGATTTTGTGTTGCTCACTTCAATTCAATTCAATTCAGCCCACCCATGCACCACGTTTCGATGGTGAGGGAGGTGCCTTGGCCGCATCATGCTGTCCTCTGGACATGAATCCTCTCCAGGTTTGATGAAACATGGCCGAAATTCCACGGTCTTCCTGCGAGTGCAGGGATGACTGAGAGCTTCCAGGACTGTTTGCCATCAAGGGAGGTGTCGGAGAAAATCCACGCAACAACTCATGAGTGGTCTTTCGTCGCAGAATGGGAGATTCCATTAGAATTCCAGAATCGTCCTTGGAAACGTTTCGTGCCGGAGGTTTTCGGCCACCCCGGCGGGTTTCTTCTTGATCTTTGGAGGAAAGCGACTTGGACCGTGTTCTCTGAACGTATCTGCGGCTGGGACGACCACGGCTGCTGCTTTGGTCGGTTTCGTCCACGGGAGTAGTAGTTGGACTGCTAGTAGGGCTGGCGTCACGGCCTTGTCGGGCCTTTTTGCGGGCCTCCCGACGAGCCAAAATTTCGGCAGAGGGTTGTTCCAGTCCAGATGGGTTGTTTGCAGTGTCCTTTGACTCTTCTGCACTGCTGGTTGACCCTTCTTCGTTGCAGGTATCCATAATGACCACATCTTTGTCGACTGGATGGCTTGGAACGCTTGGGGCCGACAAGGTCGACTGTACTGGCATGTTGCCGGGACGTTGGCGCCCGGTAGAAGTAATAATGTCGTCCTCCAACGGTTTCGAACTTGTACATTGTTGCAATTTTCTGAGCGAGACAGCTCCTTGAGCCGCCGCAGAAAGGCTGGGTCGCTGGTGCGCGTTGCCCCGTCGGCTGACGTTGCGGATGATCCGTTGTCGACTTCCAGTGCTGATTGTTGTTGTTGTGGTTTGGTGTTGCTTTTTGGAATCTGCACGATGATAAGAAAATTGTTTTCGACTTGGCATTCGTCGAACAGTGTCGGTATTTCCCTTTTTCTGGAGACTGACAGTCCTAGCAAATCGATTGTGGTGGCTACTGCTGCTGTTGCTGAGTGTTCGCATTGTCCCAGTAGAGACATCTTCTGTCTTTCGCTCTCGCAATTTTCTGGCATCCACCAGACTCCCCAATTCAACTTTGGCCTGTACAATTTTGTTCATCAGTCCCATTTCTTGATCGGCTTGATCACGTCGCAATTGCTTGACCATGTCTTCGTACCAATAAATGATTTCACTGGCGTGGGCCTTGGTCGACACAATGGCCTCGCTATGAGTGCAAATGCCGTGGACATGCAGGCACAGTTGGGCTTGCAGTGTCGCCACCACGCCAGGTACAATATAGTCTCTCACTTTCTTGGTGGCGGCCAAATACTCCTTCAGTGGTGACTTGGCAATGGCAGTCAATCGATCCGTGTAGGCAGACTTCGCTGTAACATAGTCTTCTTGTAGCGCCTCTTGCTCTTTTTCGTATTGTTTCCGTTTCAGGATAGTCAAGGCGCGAGCTTCCGCCAAGCGTTCTTTCATTTCTTCAATTGCAGCATTCATTTCAGCATCTTCCACCGTGGAAGGCACTGCATCATCGCGAGACTCTGTCACCCGAAAGTTCAAAAGGGTGTCGGCTTTTTGGCGGAGAAAGTTCATTTGTTTTTAGATTATTATTTGAGCTGATTGGTTTGTGACTTTATTGATTGGAGAAATTTACAAGCACAACTTGCTGCTTCCCGAAACCAGTGGTTCCGTGTTGTCATGCAGCGATCAATGTTGCCTGCCTTTTTCGTTCTTGTGATGGATGGTCTCGAGTGGGATGGGCGCAAGGCGCAACTGTGAATGAGGAGAATGAGGCTGCATTTCCCAGTGGTCAACATACGGTATGGACGCTTTCTACCTGCTGATTCCGGCCGTCTGACGGTCAACCGTCAACCAGAATCTAGCCTCCACCCATCTACAGATCTACAGATATACAGAGACAACAAAGTAGCTTTTCCTCATAATCTTATAACATCATTCGTAATACATCTATCGCTACCTTTAGTCTCTTCAACAGATGTTATAAGATCCTTCTATACAACCGATACCACCACCGATCCGCTACACTGATCAACCCTCTATCGCTCGACGAACGCCCCTCTATCGAACGCACCTCTATCGAACGAACGGCACGACGCACCTCTATCGATCGAACGGCACGACGCACCTCTATCGCTCGACGAACGCCGCACCTCTATCCTCGG